CAAGGCTGTTGACAATGGCAGGTGTACTCTAGCGCTCCTTGCCACGAGGAATTTCGTGGGCTTGGCCTGACTATGTCAGACAAGTGAGCATAAGTAACAACTTTCATAGTTTCTTGACACATTGTTCTTGACACATGTTCTACGAAAGATCCTTTTATCACATGACACACAGCCAGTCTCCACATAATCCATACACATTCAAGCATATGATAAGTGACTGTGTGATAGATGATATTTTTAAAGTCCCCCCTGAAAAAAATTACTAGAATTGATGTTGGCAAATTTGGAAGCCATGTGAGGAACACATTTTTTTTTTGGGGGGGACTACAGCCCACCAGCGGCCGAGCCAGAGGGCCTGAAAAAGCGGTGGTAAAGTCGTGAACAAGAGGTAGTGGGGTCGGTCCGAGGTTTCGAATCCCGCGAACGGGCTGGCTGCATGGGTGTTTCGTGGTTTTCCCCATGTGTAACGTGTATACGAGCCAGTTTCCCTTAGAAAGTCCTCCACAAAGGCATCCCTCCCCTTAGGCAGATAGCCCTAGTGAGCTTTGCCATAATTAAATACACCACCACCACCACACCTTTTGGGCTACATGTTAGATGTACGTAATGTCTAGGCAAAGCATTTGCAATGTGTGAAATGAAACTAGGACAGTCATAGTTTAATTTGAAATATCACAGGTAAATGTGTGCCAATTACATAGTTTGCTATAATCATTTATAACAGGATGATTCCTTTTGAATTACTGTTTATATTACATTCATATACAGTCAAAAGTCGTTAATTCGGACACCCATAATTTGGAATGATCTATAATCCGGACCTCAAAACTAAAAGCTTTCTGCGCATGCGCCGCGTTGACACATGCGCATAGGCGTTTACGCGTGCGCGTAAGACCTTTTACCACTGCGCATATGAGTGTGCGCAAGTGCAGAATACGTTTTCGCGTGCGCGTTTTATGTATAATGGAAGCTAAAATTATCTAATTATCTATTTCAGTTAATGTTGATGATTGCATTGTTCCTTAATTTTCGAATTGGATCCGACTTATTATTATTTGCAGACTGTAAGAGCAATTTTATAAAAGTAAGCTTAAACTTTCGATTATATCAAATAGAATTTCCTATATATATTTGTTAATATGTAAAGGATCTAAAGCGAAAGTAGTGTTTTGAAATCCGAAATCTGTTTATCAATTTCACGCTGCTCACGCTCAGCGGGGGGAACGCCGCAGCGGGCGCGCGCGTAATGAATTGGAAGTTGATCTGTCAGCACTATCCTTATCTTCAGAGCAGATGTTTTATTTATTTGGCTTATAATTCCTTACCAAATTAGTATTTCATCTCGATGTGCTCCGTCTTTGATATGATTTAAAACAAGTTCCTCGTCATTATAATTCGCTTCTGATAGCGAAGAAAGAAAAAAAGTGACAGAGGTTAGTTGAAAACGAAAAGATTTCGATTGACAAATTAGTCGGTGTTCTCGACACAGCAATTATAAGACTTGAACAGCGGAACTTTGTAACTGAACAAGAAATTATGTCTGTTTAATAGAATTAAAGAGAAAGTATTATCACATGAAACGAAGCAAAAACTTAAACAACTTACATTGAAAGAAATGTTTAATAAAGTAAACAAATAAATATTAAGCTTTTTCTTTTTGCAAATTTTGATACCCTTTAGATCATAATTGTTCTTTATTCATTAAATTACGGTTTCGTATTTTTAATTTTAGAATTTCTGCATGCCATCTTACGAGATTTAAACTGATGATCTATAATCCGGAAAAATCGATAATCCGGAATCGCCGAAGTCCCGACGAGTCCGGATTAACGACTTTTGACTGTATAGCACAGGACTAATATTAATTTTTAAACCCTAAATCTGAACTTTCCTGAAATACTAGAGAACAAGGTATCCCTCCATTTTTTGACCCAATATATATATATATATATATATCATGAATACAAAATTATTTTAATTTTACTAGATTAAATGATATGCCAAATAAAAGGCAGTTATCTTCTGCACTAAAGTATCTTTGATAATGAAAGAAATTCACAAAAATGATTTGGGGTTTTTTCTGATGTAATGTAGACTGAATAACACTAGAACTATATTTTGGAACATTTGGGCTATCTGAACCAAGTTGTAGAAAATACAGACTATTTGAAAAAATTAACTGCATAAGCTTTTGATTGCATAAATATTGTATAATTGCACAGTGGTGTTAACCACTTGCATTAAAATACGTGCCACGCACATCGAGATGCTTTTGTCTCAAACCGCGAGCGACGTGAACACCATGTCGATAGGCATTTATTGCAAAAATGAAAATAACTGGTGCACACGTCGCCTAACAACGAGATTGTTTATTTCTCGAGTTACAGCTCTGGATTGCACTCGTAGACGTGGAGCGGTGTAAATGAGACACTTTACCGCTTGTTACATTGTAGTGCACGGCACCACAATCGTGAAGTTTAGTTGCAGTGCAAGTGGTTAATACAGTGAGAAATCCTTAACCCACTGGCCTATCTTCTCTGGTATGGTTACAAACTGAATTTTATTGATCAGTTAAATGAAAAAAAAAAAAAAAAAAAATTATTTCCACCCATACAAAATACCAACTTTTCTGTCTTGTTCTTCTCCTCAAAATAAAATGCCTAAAAAAGTTTATTGAAAAGAAGGTTTCTAGTAATAGCAATGACAAAACAGAATTTTACTTTAAAGCTTGTAAGTACTTTTAAATGCAAAGTTATAGAGAGGTTATTTTATAATGTTTAATTCAACAAGTGGAAATGATAAACAAGTGAAGATACGAAACCACTAAACTTGAGGCTGTTCAAATTTGAACTCTAGATATGCCCCCCTGGGGCTTATTAAATGGTGCATCATAAAAACACACCTGAATTTTCTTCTCCCATTTTATTTCTCTTTCTTTTTCTTTCCCTCTTCCACTGAATGGTAGTTCAGAAATGTTATTGTACTATATACATTGCAGCAATGTTTTATATCATGAATTATGCTTATTGGAAATGAAGATTTTGAAAAAGTATAGGTAGATGCCAAAATTAATGCAGATGAAAAAAGCAAACCATCAACATCAAGATGACACAATAATGATAATCACTCTAAATCCAAAAGTATTTTTTAAAGAAATTCTGGAAATGCTATAGACGTAAACTAAACACAAAACAAATCACAGAAGTTTTTTTTTCAGTTGACAGCTTTATTCAATTCCAACTATTTTTTAAATGCTCCTGATGGGACTACTTAGGTTATGATAAAATGCATAAGCATTATATGGCTAAGGGAAGATATGGTTTGTGAAGGCCGTTTGAAGGGAAACTGTTTTGTATTATACAAAATTACAAATGTATGTATTATATGAATTATTTGTATTATACGTTCACCAGGATTAGAACCTGGGTGAAACTACCAGAGCTCAGAAATTTTACGGATTGGCAATTAGTAGGTTAAATGTTCCTTAACACTTACTATCAGATTTAATGTTTTTGATAGCAGTTTAATGTTTTATATTTTGATACAATATGGATAAAAAGTAAATTTTAAGTTTTTTCCTTCTTTTAATAAATAAATAATTAAATCAGTAAGAGAGATGAGATCATTAAATGAAGATAAACAAATTGGATATTATGTTTAATGAGATTTGCAAATCAGCAAAACTAATTTAACTTTATCAACCACTGTCTAAAGAAAGTTTGCTGTATTAAAGAGAATTAAACATTTCACCAACCCAATTTTAATGAAGCAATTTAATTTGGGTTCACCAAAACAGAAAGCAGAATATGTTTCATACAAGAAAATTATTGAGATCTGGATTTAATAATAAGAAAATTTAAAAAATTATAAATGAAAATGTAATATTGACAAAATTGCTCTGTAAATAAATAGTTGGATATACAAAAATTACATGCATTTATTCACAGATTATTTTCCATGGCTACAACACAGAACTACTATGCTATGATAGTAAAAATACTCATTAAATTTTTGATATTTTCTGATTATCCATGCTTCCACTGAATAGTTGCTAATTCGCTACAGGCTTTAGACAGCATGCACAAATGCATTGGTGTAATTTTTTTTTTTTTTTTTTTTTTTTTTTTTTTTTTTTTTGAGATAATGTGCAAAAAAGCAATAGCCATTTTCAAAATGGTGGTGGTGCATAAAGAATTTCATAAAAGAACAATTAATCAATAAAATTAAAAAATCAACGAACACAAGAAATAAAACACTTTTCCTTTTTTTTTTTTTCTGTTATACTCCACACATACCCAACGATCTGTTTTCGCTTAGAAAAAAATCACAGAATTGCAAAAACTCGGCATTTGTGCAATTTGGCATCGTATGTACATAACTGGGTTATCACATAAATGCTTTTTGGTGACACCATGTGTTGCCTTATATAAACTATTTTGGTGACATACTGCTTTACTACTTTTTCGCAACTTTTTGATAAGGATGTAAACAATCAGAAAGTATAATTTTTTTTATTTTTTTATTTAACAACTACAAATTTTCTAATTTAAAAAAAAAAGGGCTTATAAGAGAAATTAAGACAGATTGTACCTTAAACTTAAGGTATGCCACTTGATATTAATTAAAGTGTGCATCATAGAAATAAATCTGAACATAGATTTTTTTATGATATTCGAAAACAGTATTACAAATATTGATGATGATACAAAAATGATGTAACAAAAATTTTTATAAAATTACAGGGGAATTTTTTTTTTTTTTTTTAAATTTTTCCCTGTAATGGTTATGGCTTTCTCTTTTACTCAAGTTTTAAATTATTTGAAATAGCATCAATCCATATTACCTCAAATAATCAGAATCATACTGCATTCCCCCTCTTTTTTAAATAAACATGTAACAACTACAGAAACTTTTGATCAATACAAATACATTCATAAGAATTCAAAATTAGCCAAGCCATATATAAAAGCCTACTACAAAGGAATATATTAAAGAATTACCTATCTGCTATAAGTCCAAAAATTATACAACCTATACTAGTTCCCACATAAAAGATTGTTTGTGACTGGTAAGGCAACTGGTCATGTTCACATACCCAGTTCATCTAAAAAAGTATAAATTTGTATTTATCATAAACAGCCACTTTGATAAAGACTGAAAATTAATACAATAACAGTCTCAAAAGTATTTCAATGAACAATTTGAAAAGCAGACATACTTAGCTTTACAACTTTGAAATCACAGAATTAATATCTGCATATTGTAAATATTTTACAAGCAAACTATACCTAAAATGTGTATATAAATTTAATGCATAATATGGCATGCAAATAAATCTAATACGCATTAATATACTTAAATTAATCAATTTTCCAGACACAAAATCTTGTAAATTTACAGGTCCTAATAAACTGTTTTATTTCATTTTGATAATATTTTTACATAAGATGTTAAAAAGGAATTACAAACTAAAAATGTATATATATAGAGAGAGAGAGAATCTAACATTCTGAAAGATTAAGCAAAGCCCAAATTAAAATATTTTGTCATAATATTTTTTAAATACACTACTATAATTTCTGAAATTTGATCGCATATGTAAATGCCTTTTTTTTAATTAAACGCTATTTGTTACATGCATACCTAAAATATGATTTTAACAAGTTTCAAAATTTTACATACAGCTTATTTTAAATAAAAAATATCACTGAATAAAATAAATTTCAAATAAACTTTACATTCAATGAGAACATAATTTCAGAAGATGAGAGAAAGTGTCACATATCCAATTACATATAGGAAAAACCACAAAAATCCCATGAAGAGAATTTATTCTGTAACTTGATCCCAGAAATAACGTACCAGTAGACATTATGCTTGATGATTATTACAGACTTTAGCTAACTAACTCCGCTAGTAAGTGTTGAGTGGGTTCACGAAGAGAAATTTAACAGAAATTTCTTTCTGTATGTACAAAATAGATTTAGTAAATGAAACTCATAGCATAAAAGATAAAATTTAGTGCTGTCTGAATTGAGAATAACTGATTTGTTATTTAGAGAAGTCTAGGTCTGGTGTCAGCATTGGTGTGGCAACACTGGACACCAGAATTTAGGAAAAGCAAAATTTTTAGAATTGAGAGAAGCACTGAGCAACAAAATTAAGGGATGGCAATTTTTTTTTTAATTCAGTGAAGGCAATGGGATACAAAATTGTGAGAATTTGGAGAGCCACTAGACAACAGAATTTTGGACCCACAGAGATGCACCAGACTGCAAAATGTCTATCCCTGGATAAACTTAAAAGTATATTTATCTGAGATTCAACTAAGCCTTAAGCATGTGTGGGAAACAGGCTCAATAAATAGCCAATATAATTCAGGCTTAATTTCATCAGTGTACAACAGAAGCAAGAAAAAATTTTATGAACAGCATGTTTTTAGTCATTAATTTCATGATACATTGCTAACAGTATAGCAGACACTAGCTAACGTTTATGATGATTATCACAAATTTGAAGGTGTTCATATATCGCAAACGATAAGAGAAATTTTCCAATTAATGGAATTTTGAAGAAATGTGGAGGAGTGCTAACAAACAAAGATGCTATAACAGAAGTTCTCCATTGTAATGACAATGCCCCAGTCATTAACCAACTAACAGATGGCAAAATCCATAGTATGGTTCTAAATCCAGAAAATATCTCTATCTATATACAGTGACAGAGAGGTTGAGAATGACAAAATTTCAATTCACAAATGAGTGGAAATTACCAATACAGCAACTGCAAGACTTGAACAATGGAACTTTGTAGCTGAACAAGAAATTACATCTATCTATAGAATTAAAGAGAAAGTGTTAGCACAAAAAATGTAGCAAATTAAATAACTCTTATTAAAGGAAATGTTTAATAGCAAATGTTTAAAGCAAACAAATAAATACAGTACAAAGTCCGAAAATCCGGACTCCTCGGGATTTCGGAGATTCCGGATTTGGGACTTTTCCAGATGTTAGATCATCAGTTTAAATCTAGTAAGATGGCATGTAGAAATTATAAAATTAAAAATATGAAATCATGATTTATGAAATAATGAAGTATTTATGATTTAAAAGGTATCTAAATTTGCAAGGAAAAAAAAAAAGCTTAATATTTATTTGTTTACCTTATTAAATATTTCTTTCAACGTAAGATTTTAAGTTGCTTCTTTTTTTGTGCTAATACTTTCTCTTTAATTCTATAGACAGACATAAACTCTTGTTTAGTTACATTGTTGAAGTCCTGTAACTGCTGTTTCGAGAATTCCGACTAACTTGTCAATCGAAATTTTCTCGTTTTCAGTAACTTCTCTGTTACTTTTTTCATTATCAGTAGCAGTATTTTCTGGATCTAGAACCATACTACAGATTTTGCCATTCATTAATTGATTGATGATTGAGAGGCATTGTCATCACAATGAAAAACTTCTTTTATATCATCTTCATTTATTACCGCTTCTCCACATTTCTTTACAAAATCCGTTAATTGGAAAATTTCACCTTTGTGTTGTGATATCCAAAAAGCTTTAAAAGTAATCAAATTTAGCTATCCTTCACTTTACATATTTGGCTATGCATCATGAGCTTGGCAACTAATGGCAAGTTGTTCAGTTAAATTTTATCTTGCTTGTATCGCGCACTGAAACAATTAAGCCTGAATTGTATTTGTTTAGTTATTTATTATACTTATACCTATTTCTTGCATATGCTTAAAGCTTCTCAGAGTTTTGAAAAAATAAATTCCACATATACTTAAGCCGATAAAAGGATATTTTAGGGTACCCCTTGGCGAAACTTGGTGGTACATGGATACCGAGTTTGTGCAATTCTTTGACTTATTATTTTGGCTTGCATAACGGCGATTTTTGACGCAAAAATCGCCTCTACACAAAGCCAAAATAACAAGACAAAATTGCACAATCTTGGTATCCATGTACACATCGACCTATTTTCACTTTAAAAAAAAAATTCCCAAATTGAAAAAAAATGGCATTGTGCACTCCCTTGAATTTATCTATGTACACGTCGACCTATTTTTACTCAAAAAAAAAAATCCAAAATTGCACAAACTTGCATTGCGAACTTTCTTCACTTTGTCCATGTACACATAAATATATTTTCACTTAAAAAGTCAAAGGAGCACCTAATTCTACAATACAGGCAAACAAAAAACACATAATCTCAATAAACTACATTTTAAACCAAACAATAAAATAACATAAAAGGGGGAAAACGTTATACATTTAAGCACTACAAAAAGCAAATATCCACTTACCGTATTTAGAAGTTCCTTCGTCTTTAGTCTGTGGCACACAAAATTCCTTAACAGCATCCTAAAATTATCTGAACTCAAATCCGTATACCAGCGTCACCACATCTAAACCTGTCTTCCTACAAACCCATTCAAATCCATCTAAACGGTTCTTACGTTCGACTAGACGCATATCCTTCCTACATACAGGACACTTATAATGGCTACTAAGTAAACCTTCATTTACATGCCAGTCAATTAACGCTCTTTTCCACTTTTGCTCCATATTGTCTAAAAACTTCAAATTAATCTTACTACATTCAGCCATTCTACCGTCTAAAGAATAAAACCAACACACACCACAAAAGCGCTTACAAAACATCCCATGATTCAAAATTTCCCAGAATCATGCACCCTTTGACGTCACAGTAGGGTTTCCATAACATTCAACTACCATAAATGAAACAACAACTTCGCCATAATACAAGGGGGTACCTTAAAGTCTTTAATACCACTTAAGCCTTATTGAGAGCCGGCACTAGATATCTTACTGCCTGATGCAGTTTCTGTGGGTCCTAAATTCTGCGATTCGGTGCGGCCATATGAGCCCTGGCACTGGTTCTGGGTTTATGTGAATAACAAATCAGTTATTCTTAATTCAAAAAGCCCTAACAGTAATCTTTCGGTCTATGAGTAGCATCAACAAAATTTATTTTTAGCATATGGAAAGAATTGGTAAATGTTTCCTCGCCACCATTTTTTAGGGCATTTAACTGAAATCTGTACTCATTGTCAACATAAAAGGTTACCATACTCCTTTATTATTCAATTACTAACATAAAAAAAAAAGTTTAAGCATCGCTGCAGAGTCATTACTCAAGTTCTCATGTTTTGATAAACATGCAGTGATGAAGATTCGCCAGGTTGGTGTCAGGTCAACGATGTATCTATGTGGAATGTTTCGGTTTGAGATGTGTGCCAAGCAAATACGCAGCAAATGAGCCAAATTACTGATCGTACAAATCGAGACTCTCCAGATGTTTTATTATGAGCACGGAGGAGAATCAAATGCCCATGCGTAAAGCCTACAAGAAAAACGGTGTTATTGGTGGTTTGGAGGTTCGGATTTTAGATCATTCCACATAATGGACATCCGGATTTCAAACTTTGTACTGTATGAGTGGTTTTTTTTTTTTTTTTTAACTTTGACTTTTTTAAGGTCATAACTTTGACTTTTTTAAGGTATTTCATAAATCACTATTTCCTATTTTTAATTTTATAATTTCTATATGTTACCTTATTAGATTTAAACTGATGCTAATATCAAGAAAAAATGCAAAACTAGAGTCACCACAAGTCCTGGTGAGTCAGGATCTCAGACTTTGTAATGGACTAGATCTCAGACCTACATTTATTTTTTTTTTTAAGACATAACACATCTTTACTCACTAGAAGACCAAAAATAACACATTATCAGGTAAACAATGAGCACACATATTTATATTCAGTTATTTGTATGGTCCATGGTAAAAGAGACTTTCAAATCAAAACAACCCTATTTTTTTCACTTTAGTTAGTCACTAGTTTAGATGCTTATATCCACCTGTATATGCTTTTGATGAATAAGTTATAACATTCAGAGACTGGCCTGTATACTTCCAATGTTTTTTTACCTATCAAAAGTATGCTACTATTGTGGATTAGAGTAGAGAGAAGGGTACCCCTTGTAATATCGCAAAGTTGTTGTTTCATTTATGGTAGCCTGAGTAGTTGAACGTTATGGAAACCCTATTATGAAGTAATCGGTTGCATGATTGTGGGAAATTCGTAATATGGATGTGTTTCGGTTAGTAGTATATTGCTTGTTTTGTGGTTTAGACGGTAAAATGGCTGAATGTGGTAAGATTAATTTGAAGTTTCTGTATGACTGAGCAAAAAAAATTATTTGACTGGTGTGTAAATGAAGGTTTACTTAGTAGCCATTAATAGGTGTCCTGTTTGTAGGAAGGAAATGCGTATAGTCTAATGTCGCTGCGGAGGATATTTTTTACTCTTATTTTGTGAATTTATGTGGCGATGCCAGTATACAGATTCTAGTTCAGAAAATTGTAGGAAGTTTTTGGATGCTGTTAAGGAATTTTGTTTGACTGAAGACATGTTAATTCGTAAATAAGGTAAATGGATATTTCCTTGTGTAGTGCAAACATAAATTTCCTTTTTTATGTTATTTCATTGTTTGATTTAAAATGTAGTTTATTGAGATTATATATATCTTTTTGTTGGCTACTCCTATGACTTTTTAAGCGAATATAGTTCGACTGTATATGGTTAAAGTCAAGGGAGTGCACAATGCCAAGTTTGTGCAATTCTCTGATGTTTTTTTAAATGAAAATAGGTCGATATGTACATGAATACCGAGTTTGTGCAATTCTTTGTCTTGTTATTTTGGCAAGCCAATATAATGAGTAAAAGAACTGCACAAACTTGGTATCCATGTACCGCCAAAAATCACCAATTTTTGCCAAAGGGTACCCGTAAATATATTTTTACCCTATTGTGATTCGAATTACGCAAAGGAACTTAATCTAATGAACATACTGTATAACAGCATTCAGAATCAGATTTTGTTTCTCAAGTTTCACACGTTTTACATATGCCAGCCTACACTAGAGCTTTCATTTGTAGAATAATGGAGTGACAGTACCGTTTTAACATTCAATGCATAAAATAAATAAGGTTACATATTTTTGCATTTCTGTACAGTTCTGCAATTTACTAAAGTTGCATATTTTTAGTATTACTTTTCTGTTAGTTTCCAAAGTTGCACTTTTTTTGTAAAATTAATTCACCTATACAGTCAAAAGTCGTTAATCCAGACTCGTCGGGCCATTCCGGATTATTGATTTTTTCGGATTATAGATCATCAGTTTAAATCTGGTAGGATGGCATGCAGAAATTATAAAATTAAAAATATGAAACCGTAATTTATGAAATAAAGAACAATTATGATCTAAAGGGTATCAAAATTTACAAAAAAAAAAAGCTTAATATTTATTTGTTTACTTTATTAAACATTTTTTTCAATGCAAGTTGTTTAAGTTGGTTCGTTTTATGTGATAATACTTTCTCTTTAATTCTATGAACAGACATAATTTCTCCTTCAGTTACAAAGTTCCGCTGTTCAAGTCCTATAATTGCTGTGTCGAGAATACCGACTAATTTGTCAATCGAAATCTTTTCGTTTTCAATAACCTCTGTGTCACTTTCTTCACTATCGGAAGCGAACAATAATGATGAGGAATTTGATTTAAATCATATCAAAGACGGAGAACATCGAGATGAAATACTACATTTAGTAAGGAATTATAAACCAAATAAAATAAAAACATCTGCTCTGAAGATAAGGATAGTGCTGACAGATCAACTTCCAATTCATTGAGTGCCTCGGCATTTCCCCCCTGCCGCAGAGCAGCGTGAAATTGATAAACAGGTTTCAGAATTGTTAGAGAAACGAAGGATATGCCTTTATCTATTTTTTGCAGCAATTCCACTTTTTGTTTAATGGACTTCGAAACATACTTTCGCTTTGTAGATCCTTTACATATTAGTAAATATATATCGGAAATTCTATTTGACATAATCGAAAGGTCAAGCTTACTTTTATAAAATTGCTCTAACAGTCTGCAGAAAATAATAAGCCGGATCCAATTCGAAGATTAAGGAACAACACAATCTGCAACATTAACTGAATTAGATAATTTTAGTTTAGCTTATACCATCCGTTATGCATTCAACGCGCATGCGTAAACATATTATGCACATGCGCACATGCATATTCGCAGCCGTAAAGGTCTTAAAGCGCATGCGTCAGCAAGACGCATGCGCAGAAAGTTCGTAGCTTTGAGGTCCGGATTATGGGTGTCCGAATTAACGACTTTTGACTGTAATAATAAAAGCAGAGGCACCAGAACAAACATAGCAATATTATAAAACTTTACTTAATTTCATAGCAAGAACTATGAATAATTGTATAAATAGAATTTTCAATTAACATTTTTTAATTAAAGCTGTATCATAAGAAATTTTTATTTTTATGTTATTATAAATACCAAAAAATAATAATAAAAAAGGAGGGGAGGGTACAACTCTAATATATGCCCTAATTTCACCAAATGTGGCGATATGTGTTCTGCGCTGGTTTTTGGCACGATTGCGTGTTCTATGGCAACCCTGTTGACATTGAAAAATCTTTCGCTGGAGCTCGTTGATTCGCCTCTGTGTCTGAGAAGATGGGAGGGAAAGATAAAATGGTAGTTGTTGAATTGAAGTTCGGCAAAAGGAAATATCATTGTGGCTATCCTGTTGAGGGGTAGTGGATATTTGGAAGTGTGGAAAGAGGGTCTGGGAGATTATTTTTAAACGCAGTGCATGATAGAAGTAAGGATTTGTGATTTTATTTATTTGTGAACCATAGTATAAATTTTCTGGATAGTGTGTCTGGCTGTCATGTAAATACGATAGTGATTACGTGGCGGCATGTTAAAGGCGGTATGAAATTTATATTTCTGCTATTCGAAAACGCATTAATTCATGGTAAGTGCATTTTATTTTATCCTTGTTCTTATTTTGTAGAATGTTATGTTCATTGGTTCTTTAGTATGAATTTCTGTCGTTATTGCTGTTTTTTTAACTAGTTTGAAATTTATTTTAGTTTATTTTGTTGTTTAGTGTCTAGACTGTGCAATTCGTAGATGTTTTTTAAAGTTGAAACAGAACGCTGTGTACATGGTATTATTTGAAATTTATTGTTGTTATGTTATTTTATTAAAGCGAGGAGTGCGTAGATCGTAGATTCCTTCCTTGCCTAAAGTGTGCAATTTGTAGAATTTTTTTTTAGTTTAAACAGGATGCTGTGTACATGGTATTCTTTGAAATTTATTGTTATGTTAATTTATTAAAGCGAAGTTAACGTAGTTTGTAGATTCGTTCATTGCCTACATTGTGCCATTCGTAGATGTTTTCTTAAGTTAAAACATGTTGCTGTGTACATGGATTCTTGTCAAATATTTTTGGTTAGAAACTTTACGTTTTTGCTATCTAAATTTTTTGTTTTTATTTCGGATTTTTAGCTAAATTGTATGTTGAAAACGTAGTTTTTGCATGTGCGAAAACCGCGTTTTTGGAGACATTTTAAGCTAAAAGTTCGAAATGTAGAACTTTTAGAACAAATTTAGATAGTAATATGGCAGCGTGAAGTTTCTCGCCAAAAATACTTGGAGCGAAATTTGGTGACTTGAGGGCGCATAACAGAGTAGTTCCGAGGGGAGAATATGACAAAGCACGTACTTCAGTAGCTACAGTTGGATATAATTCACTGAAATCATAAATCCATCCATTCTGACATTTCATAGTTTCTCCTGTTCTATCCGAGAGATTTGCTTCCCAGTTGAAGGAGTAATTTGATGAAATATACATCTCACACTGCATGGGTAGTACTTGACCTTCTCTTACTTCAAAAGGAACAGTCAAATTCGACGAATTTAGGCCCAAGTGAAAATTTTCCTCTTCGTACAGTCTGCATCTGTGTTCTGGTACCAAAATGATGAAGAACTGTGTAAAGTAAACCAATGCACACAGACTAGCAGACGGAACAACAAGGAACATACAAAGTAACTTCTGGTATACACCAAAGTCCCCAACTTCTTGTAAAGCATCATTGAAGTCCATAACTAAATTTCCTATTATTTATGCAGCACCCGAAGGCAGCATGGTCTAATTTAGATATTAATGTCTGAAAAAAAAACCACATGCAAATTAAAAAAATATATGAACAAACAATTATCACAGCATTAAATAATATAAACTATATTAAAATTAATATTTATAATATCAAATACTGAAGTGATAATTTTTTACATTACAGCGGTATTCAATGGTTCAAAATTGACAAACACATGATGAACATTTTTAAGCTCACAATAAATTAGTCTCACAAAACCATTCTCTTTCCATATACGCGCACAGTGAGTCTCCCCATATACTGTGCTGACCAAATGAAATATAATACATAAGTTAATTATCAATAGCTGCCTCTTCAAATATGAGTACTTAAAATATGGGCTCAAGACAATTTCAGATTTTCATAATATGCTTAAGAAAAACCTACGAAGAAAAGCAGTTAATTGAACTCTGAAGGTAACTGTTTGCATATAAGCAAAAAATTTCTAATTTTAGCCGAATTTATATAATAATGAAAGCAAATTATTTCCTTACGCTATAAATAATAATGAACATTACTTTTAATCAAATTACCATGAAATATTTTATTACTTTTGCAATGCAAAAGCATTTAAAGTTACTAATTCCGGGGAAACGCGAGGGACAAAAAACAGAAACTTACGGTCTAAAATATTCACAAGAAAATGCTTAGCAAAGGTCACATAATTTTATTTTGTTTACATCTCAACATGTTCCGGTAATGCCATTTACTACTCGTCAATGTTACCAAAAAAATTAAAGACAAAATTCGTTAACGCTTTTCAAGTAAAACTTTTATATAATCTTAATTCTGAAAATTATTTTAAAGCCTTAAGACTTTCTTTCAGAAATTATTCGTTTTTTTCATGCATATCACTTAAGGTGCTTACAGCTCAGTAAGTTAACACCTTGGCACATGAGCTGTGTTGCCAAGCAGACGGTTTTTGAGAAATGAGAAGTGAGTGTGGGGTGTGCGTGCATGTGATCAGTATTAATTTTATCGAACTTGTATCGCGTGTAAACCTTGAATTTGTTATCCATAAATCTTATCAGTCAGTCAGTGTAAGATTAAATATTTTGTTTGCAAGTGATGAAGGTTGAGTTTAATCAAAATGTCTTCAAATGAGTTACTAGAATCACTGATTTGTCTCCGTGTAAAAGATGAGCGAATATTTTTTGTTTCGAAATTGGAAGCAGACATTCAGTCAGTATTCCGTGAAATTAGTAATAATAAGAAAATCAAAAATATAATGGTTCAAAAATATTTGAAACAAGGAAATATTTTTTTAAAAGGGGACTTTTATGTGCTTCTTCAAAGTCCTGAGGGTTGTCGCTATTTAGAGTATTCTGAGGAATTGGTTGAAAAGCTTAAAGATATATCTTATATTTTAGACGCTGAAATTTATTCACATTTTTACTTGACATTTCGTTTAAATCGACCATTTGTGTTTAAAAAAGTTTTTGACGAAGTCTTGAAATATGGTAAAACATACGGTATGTTTGAAAAACGCCAATCAGTGTTAGTTTTGGTGCACAATGAAAACTTGAACAATTTCGATAAGATGCGGAATTCATTATCTGCAGAACATGTTATATCATTTTTGAGCGCTAATCATTTTACAGTTTACTACCATTTCATTGACTCAGTTAAATCATGCATAAGCTTAAACGGAAATGAAATTATTTGTCCTGAAGATTGTTCGTTTAATGATACGCATCAGAGTTTAGAGAGCAAAGCAAGTCATTCTGAGTGGAAAATATGTTGTGATGTGCATGATTGTTTGTGCTTGGATGGTAAAGCATTCTTAGAGAAATACGACCTAGTAAAATATGGCAAAAGTATAAATCACATAAAAATATCGAAAAACAGTGTCTCTGATCTTTTAACTAAAGCTGCATACATAAAGCACATAATGTCAAAGCATATGTCTAATAAGCCTGACTACATATTACACATTATTTCACATTCACAAAAGATAATTATTTATGAATCGTGCATATTATTGCAAATGCTGGATGATGTCAGTTTAGACAATGTTTTCATTATAAATCAAAGTACTAGTCCTAAAAACAAATCAGAAATATCCATTACTGAATTTATAAATGCACAAAAAGAAGAAATACAGAATGCAATGGCACATAAATATGACCCAGATATATCCCATGATAAATTGTGGTCATCTCGTATTGATATTTTGCTAGATTCTGCTGTAAAATTTAGTTTTTTGAAAAGAAGTTCAAGTATGGTATTAAAATTACAAGTTCCTAATCGTGACAGTAACTCGGTAAAAAATCCTGGTATATTTGTCCAATATAACTTTGCTCGCCTTTCAAACTTATTTAAAAATTTTGAATTAAAAGTGAAAGAAGGTTATTATAATCCATTACCATCTTTGGAAAATATCAACTTTGAATTTCTTAAGCTAGAAGAAGAGTGGTATTTATTTACATATGTTCTTTCATTTCCTGGTGTCATACAAGATATCATTAATTCTATTGCGAATGAGAATCCATTAAAATATTGTTTCCCTATTAAAAAAATTTGCATTTTACTATCTGAATTGTCCCATCATTTGAGTGTTTATTATAGTAGAATTCGTATTTTAGGAGGACCTCAGCCACAGTTGCAGAAAGTAATGCATGCAAGATTATGGTTATTAAAGAGTATTTATCAAGTGTTAAGTAACTGTTTACAGTTATTGAATATTCAAGGTCTTGAACAAATGTAGCACCATTCATTATTGTATATGTATATGGATCAATAGACACAATTGTATTTCTCATAATAAATTTAAATTTCATCCATAAATTTTAATATGTATAAATTATTGTGTGGCTTTTATTTTACATTACATGCCTGCATTTTTATAGTAATATTAATTTAATTTTTAAAATTCTTTTGACAACTCTTCCATCCTCAAAATGACTCGTAATTTTCTTTCATCTTAAAATACTCTTCTCTTTATCGTATAATACTCAGTTAAATATATATGTATCTTCAAATGACTGGTACTGAAGGTATGATATCTAAGGAGCTAATGTAAATATTTCTAAACTATGAAGTAAGTGAATAATTTTGAAGTTATGTGAACTTATGAAATACTTGTACTCCTGTTCTCTTTTAAAATATCTTCTGAGATACTTTGGTAATGAATTTAGAAAATTCCTGTCAAAGGCATTCACATATTTTAAAAAATAAATTGCTATATTGAAATATGGTTAAGTTAGCTTCTGATTCTGTATAATTATTTTTTTGTGCTTTTTTTCCTTCTAAATTCTGTAAATTCATTTAATATCATATTTTCAATGGTGAAATTTGCATAAAATACTTAAGTATGTAGTTAAGCTTATAATAGGTATCATATAAATATTCAGATTAATTTAAGTACAGGAACATAAATGCCATTATTTAACACTATATTTAAAAAAAAAAAAAATCTGAAAGCTTTCAGATTCTATATTATGCCCAAAGGGGCTTTTTTTATTTACACGCACACAGAGGTTTCAAGAGCATAATAGCAGGCTCAAAATATTTAAGAAACAGTGTATCTTTAGAATATCTGATAGGTAGTCTCGCTCGCTGGAGATAAAAATGTTTTTTTTTCTGTACAGTGTTGTAATTGCTTGCTTTGAAATCGTTCAGTTTTTTTTAATCAAAAAATCGTTAGGGTTTTACAAAATATGAAATAGACAATAAGACAAATTCAAAATTTGGGCTTCCAAATGCCCATATTCGGGTGGAGGACTGCATTATTCAAAATTGATTGATGTATTTTTAAGTATACCTGCAAACAATTAGAGGTTTTTATTCAAAAGTTCCTAAGATATATGTCAATTTGCAATTTGGCGTATTTATTATAAGCGATAATAACGAAAATGTGGTTAATGCACTCTGTTAAAATTATTTGAAAGTATGACAGGTGAATTATTCTTGGCGTAAACTGAAAAAAAAATCCGCCAAGATAACTTTTTAAGTTTCTCCACACACTTCTCACCAAAAATTACAAAATTTAATATCTAGGCATAATTTGAGTCGTAGAATCGAAATATGGAAAAAAAATTGGGTGCTACTTTGGTAGACGGTTCTACGGATTTTGGCGAGTAATACGACTTATGGTAACCGATACTTTGTTGTCGTTTTGTTTAAAAAAGAATGTGTTTTATTATGCATAAATTCCGTGTTTTAAATATTATTTATGGCTTCTAAATATTAAAAATCAATGTAATTTTGCATTTTTATTTGAAATAAATTTTTTTTTATAATATTTTATATAATTTTATGTTGTGGATGATGTAATCAATGACATCACCTTGCTTAAAAAGTAATTGGTTTTATTAATATCTATAAATTTAATCTAATGTTTAAAACATTATTTATGGGCTGTTAAATATTAAAATACAATTTAATTTTGCATTTGTTTTAAAAATAATTTTATTATGAATCATTATTTAAATAATTTTAATTTTATAAGTGATGTAATCAGCTCCCTGATTAGTTACTGAATATTTGTGCATTCCCGCGCCATTTTAAAATTTTATTATTGATCTCTTCGAATTCCTCAAATTTCAAATGAAATGGATATGTCCGTTTCGATGATGAATGTTGTTATTGGTAATTACCAAGGATTATTGGTATTGGAATAAAACAATCGCCCTTCGAGACCCTATTTTGGCCAACCTGTTTTTCCTAATCAAAGATTTATTTATAAATTGTTCATAGTGACAGAGAAAATTTGTTTTAAATTTTTGGAGAAAACCTCGCTAATTACTTCTTCAGTGAAATGTGAGAGATGTGTATCACAGATGAAGATCATTAGACTTTTTTTTTTTTTTTTTTTTTTTTTTTTGTGGTACTTATCAATATACGACAGGTAAAATACTTTAAAAAAAATGTAAGTACATAATTTTCTTTTACTTTATAATTGTATACTTCAATTTTTATTACAAAAATTAATAGAATGTTATCAAAAATTCCTGAGATATTTATTACCACATATGTTTTAATGTTAAATAATTAAATCCTATAAAACTTATTTTAAAGTATTTAAGTACTATTTTAATTCTTTTAAACATTAGTATGATGTTTTTAATTTGATATTCAATTTAAGTAATATTTTAATCCAATTAAATGTTGGCGCAATGTTTTCATAATGGTGTTTTTATTCTATTATATGAAAGTAAAAATTTAACCTTACTTTAGCATTTTAAACTCTTATTAAATGTATTTATTTACATTTGTCAGCCATCTTAAAAAATGTTTTCAACAAAACATTAATCCATTATTTTTAATGATATTTATTTTCTTAAAGTTTCCAATACTTTACTACAGTCAAATGTCGTTAATCCGGACTCGTCGGGACTTCCGCGATTCCGGATTATAGATCATCAGTTTAAATCTGGTAAGATGGCATGCAGAAATTATGAAATTAAAAATATGAAACCATAATTTATGAAATTAAGAACAATTATGATCTAAAGGGTATCAAAATTTACAAAAAAAAAAAAAAAAAAAAAAAAGCTTCATATTTATTTGTTTACTTTATTAAACATTTCTTTCAATGTAAGTTGTTTAAGTTGCTTCGTTTTTTATGTGATAATACGTTCTCTGTAATTCTATAAACAGACATAATTTCTTGTTCAGTTACAAAATTCCGCTGTTCAAGTCCTGTAATTGCTGTGTCGAGAATACCGACTAACTTGTCAATCGAAATTTTTTCGTTTTCAGTAACATCTGTCACTTTCTTCGCTATCGGAAGCGAATTATGATGACGAGGAATTTGATTTAAATTGTATCAAAGACGGAGTACATCGAGATGAAGTACTGCATTTAGTAAGGAATTATAAGCCAAATAAAATAAAAACATCTGCCCTGAAGATAAGGATAGTGCTGACAGATCAACTTCCAATTCATTGCGCGCCGCGGTGTTAAAGATAAACAAAGTTTAGATAAACAAACGTTAAAGTTTAGATAAACAAAGGATATGCCTTTATCCATTTTTTGCAGCAATTCCACTTTTTGTTTAATGGACTTCGAAACATACTTTCGCTTTGTAGATCCTTTACATATTAGTAAATATATATCAGAAATTCTATTTGAAATAATAGAAATATTTTCGAATATAAATATTTATAATCGAAAGTTCAAGCTTACTTTTAAAAAATTGCTCTAGCAGTCTGCAAAAAATAATAAGCCGAATCCAATTCGAAGATTAAGGAACAACGCAATCTGCAACATTAACTGAGATAATTTTAGCTTAGCTTATACCGTTCGTTATACATTAAACGCGCATTCGTAAATGTATTTTGCACATGCGCACATGCATATTCGCAGCCGTAAAGGTCTTAAGCGCATGCGTCAATGCCATGCATGCGCAGAAAGTTTGTAGCTTTGAGGTCCGGATTATAGATCATTCCGGATTATGGGTGTCCGAATTAACGACTTTTGACTGTATATGCCTAAAATACATAAAACAGCGTTTTTCAAGATGGCTGACGACTGTAAAAACCGCGTCAATGTGAATCGCCAAAAATCCGTGCAACTGTCTACCATAGTAGTACCAAAAATTGGTGTGTTATTTTAGGAAAACTCTGATTTTGTGTCAAAATACCTATGTTAGGACAATGCTATATATAAATCTGGTGCTACTTTGGTAGACGGGTGCACAGATTTTGGCGATTTTTTTGGGGAGGGAGCGATACGACTTTTGGTAAACCCATTACCAAAAAGTTATTTATGGTAACCGCTGGTTTGTTGTCATTTTATTTAAAAAATAATGTGTTTTATTATGCATAAATTCCGTACTTTAAATATTTTTTACGGCTTATAAATATTAAAAATCAATTTAATTTTGCATTTTTATTTGAAATAAAAATTTCATTGTTTAATATATTTTATGTTGTGGATGATGTAATGAATGACGTCACATTACTTTAAAAGTAATTGGTGTTAATATCTATAATCTAATGTTTTAAACATTATTTATGGCTGTTAAATATTAAAATACAATTTAATTATGCATTTTTTTAAAACGATTTTATTGTGTATGATTATTTAAATAATTTTAATTCTATTCATGATGTAATCAGCTACTTGATTAGTTACAAAATATTTGTACATTAACGAACTGTAATCAACTTCCTGATTCGTTACTGAATATTTGTGCATTACCGCACCATTTTAAAATTTTAGTATTCATCTCTTCGAATTCCTTAGATCACATTTTTCAAATTTTTTTTCATTGATATCTAATTTATGATTCCGATTTTTTTGTGGTACTTATCAATATATATATATATGACAGGTTAAATACTAAAAAAAATGTAAGTACATATTTTTCTTTTACTTTATAATTGTATACTTAAATTTTTATTTAAAAAATTAATACAGTACAAAGTCTGTAATCCGGACCTCAAAGCTACAAACTTTATGCGCATGCGTAAACGCATCCGCGTTTAATGTATAACGGACGGTATAAGCTAGGCTAAAATTATCTAAGAGATTTCAGTTAATGTTGCAAATTGTCCTGTTCCTTAATCTTCTAGTTGGGTTCGGCTTATTATTTTTTGCAGACTGTTAGAACAATTTTATAAAAATTAAGCTTGAACTTTCGATTATGCCAAAAAGAGTTTCCAATTCTAGAGCTGCCAAAGGATCTACAAAGCGAAAGCATGTTTCGATGTCCATTAAACAAAAAGTGAAATTGCTGTAAAAAATGGATAAAGGCCTATCCGTCTCAAAATTATGCGAGAAGTGGGGCATTGGAAAGTCCACTATATATGACACAAGAAAAAAGGAACTTTTTGAATTTTTCGTGGAAGCATCTTA